AAAAATCACTTTCGAGATGATGCTACTCCTAAAGAAAAGTGGTACCAGCCCAGGTGAACAAATACTACCAAACAGACCCGTTCCTACCCACTGGTCCTCACTAACCGCTTCTCCATCACCCAGGTGTGCTCAACCGGTCCTGGTACTATCCACCTGGGTGGTGCTGAAACAGAAGCTTGCTCTCGGCTCTCTGAAGCCATTCTCAAGAGAGCCCTAACACCCCAGGTCTCTGCTTGCTTCCAAAATCAGGATCTGTCAACCGACTCCTGCCTTGAAGTCTCTCTAATCATACTTAATATGCAAATGTGTCCGGCCAAGGGCTCTGCCAGTAATCTTTTATGGAGGATCCCTCCTGGACATAGTCCACCCACTATGCCTTCCAGACATGCCAGTTGCCTTTTACAGGGTTAATAGCTCACCCATCAAGAACTATAAATACGTGTGTGTGATTCATTACCGTGTCATTCTTAAGACAAGGATATGCACAATTAAAATATACACCGCCAGGTGTACCTCCTTGAGTATTGCTTATTTTCTTTCTCTTCATCTTTCCCCTTTTCTCGCACACATTCCGAATCCAGTGTAGCTTGCAGTCCGCATTAGCAGAAACTGCGCCTTTCCATGGCCATTTCCCCTACGCTTTGAAAAGACTCCTATTTCCTGAAATTTAAATCACTGGCTAGCGGGTTCCTGCCCTGCTCGCTTCCAGTCTCCCTTTCGCCTCTCAGCCTCCTCCTGTCTGCCTGGGACCCCCTCCGCGAGCAATGGCGTCCACATCCCTGTGCTGCCCGAGGGGGCATCCCCATTCGGAGGTCTCGCTTCTGGCTGTCGTGTCGCAGAACCCCTTCCTCCCAGCCCTCTCCATCGGCCAAACCCCGCCGCTCTAGGAGGAGCCTAAATATCTCCTCTCCCCTAGCTGCAGGGGATTGTGGTGCGTAAACAGGATTAACTCTCTCGCCCCCAGCCACGCTGATCTACCGGGGGCCTGCAGGCTGGAGCGAGCCCACGGGTGCCCGGAGGGCGCAGCAGGGGAAATGGGCAGGCTCGGGGCCTCGCAGCTGTCCCTGCGGTGCGCTTCCTCGCCTAGTGGGGCGGGAGGCCACAGCTTGGGGAGCTGCTC